ATATTTATATATTCTCTCAAGTATTTATCAAAGTTTGGTTCCATGCTAATGCGAATAATAGAATAAGTCGCATTTCCTAATTTTTTATTTGAAATGTCATCGGGCACACACCGGCAGAGTTCATTTTTTGGGAGTTGTTGGAAGATGGCGGCAGTGGCGCGGTGTGGCGTCTCTTTCTTGTTTACCGTGGATAGGCTAAGCGCTATCCAGTTAGTATAGAGATATATATAGAAAGCAGTAGTCCGGTCTTGATATTGTTAGCGTATGAATATATCAGCGGTGAATAATGACAGATCATGAAATTGTATCCGTCCTGATTCACCCCCCGATGATGAATATATATGTGTATACCCTTTATTACTTTAGTGTCCAACCCTCATAATAACGAACCATTGAGATTTCAAACTACTCATGTCAAATACGCCGTCTATACAGCTGTCACTATTTTCCTCATATAATTTACGATTCTATGACGATTATAGTGATAGCAATGCGCTTCGTCATAGCTGCTTGCAGAAAATGCTGTAACATAAATATGGCTAATGGGGTGGCATAACCGCTTTGCGATCGCGCCAACCTACCCCACCGATAGCGTGTAAAACGTGTTTTTTTTACTTGCCCCGTAAACACAGTGATTATAAAATGGGTTTTTTCCATGAATAAATAAGTAGCCGCTCCTAACACCGTTTTTGGCTGCAGTCGTAAATTTGCACGAGCGTTGTCGCTGCTTGTCTCAGCCACAACTCGAGATAAGCAGCTAGCATTATGGCCAAAGAGCCTACTACATGAAGCAACATAAATCCAGTCGCGCCCCATGTTGGTGAGGTAGCAGTGTCGAACCAGGCGCGCATTCCTGTATAAGAACAGCTGGTCATCAAGGAACCAGGACAGCAGGTAGACGCAGCGAACACGCAAAACCAACCGAAGGAAACGAATGAACACAAGCAATCCCATTAAATCTCGTCAGAGCAAGTAAGTGCGCTGGTACGCTTGTTCGATGCCCGGACTCACAGGGCTACACACTGTCTTTTGAATAATATGTGTAATTGTCAAGCCATGTATCAGGCCATCGATGTACGAATCCATGAAACATTTAATTAATGTGTTATACGTATAAATACAATATGATTTCAACAGATACCCTATTCAAATCCCGTGCTGTTTTCATGTCGAACAGAACCTGACTTTTGACGACGACAGGAACGCCAACAAAATGGCGACGCCGACGGCGGCAACGTTCTCCTACATTGACTACATCGTATTTGCGCTGTCGCTCTTGCTGTCGGCTGCTATCGGCGTCTACCACGGATGCATCGGCTCCAAGCAGACGACGACAGACGAGTTCCTGATGGGCGGCAAGAACATGGGAGTCATACCGGTCGCGCTGTCCATGGTCGCCAGCTTTCTGTCGGCCATCTCACTGCTCGGCCAACCTGCTGAGATGTATTACTACGGCACACAGTTTTGCTTCTTCACGTTCTGTGTCATCATTGCCTTCCCGGTGGCCGCAAACATCTTCATTCCTATCTTTCATGGGTTGGAAGTGACGAGCGCTTACGAGGTGAGCAAGTTGTGATGATATCGTTCTAATTAAATAGCGGAAGTTAATACTCCGAACAGACTGCAAAACGTGATCCTACGTCAAACTAGTTCGGGCCAGGCCCGAGCCAGGCGCGCGCTAAATCGCAGCGTACATAATTACACAACCGGGCTCAACCGGGCTAAGTTAGCACGGCTTGATTGCGCATGTTCAGTTTAGCAGCTTGTTACGTCACTTAGCAGAAAGCAATGACAACAGTACCCCTGATCAAATTATTAGGATTTATACAGCATTATTGTAATAGCAAGAAATAGAAGAATAGAAGAAGAGGAAGAATATTAACAGGTAATTGAATAGGCAGCAGAAGTTGCAACCGGCGTATAATCGAATCTGTGTATCCGAATATAATTCAATTGAGCCATTTTATCAGCAATGAAAGTGCAAACATGCACATCCCTACGACTGCCTTACCATACATTCTGGATAGATTCTTCTTAAGTTGTAATTAGATTCTAGTGAAGCGAAGATCAAAAACAAAATTTGCAGACACAACTTCACACGCTACTATGTTTTTCTGTGATCCACATTAGGCTATGCGCATGCGTATAGCGTAATTTATCTCGTGCCTGGCCCCGGATTGAGCAAACACACAATTGAGCAAACACACAACTCAGCGCGGGCTAACTTAATACGGGATAGCTTAGAACGCTTCGCAGCGGCCACCTCCATTCACGGGGCTAATTTAGACCGGACTAGCGTGTATTTAGCCCGGTATAGAGTGTACACACTGCAAACATTTAGCGCGCGCCTAACCCGGACTAGTTTGATGTAGGATCAAATTTGCAGTTTGTACCGGGTATAAATAACGAGTTG